CATTCGATTTTTAATTTTTGTAATATTTTTTTATTTCCTTTTTAAATTTTATCTGCATATCTGACGCCTGCTAATAATTGCATAGTAATTATAGCTGATTATATAATAGTTTATCTTTTGCTTAATTGCATAAATTTTGTTGTTTTGCTGTAAAATTTTACTACTTGCCAGCAGGTTATCGTCTACGCCCGCCACCTGCATTAAGTCTCTTAATTAATAGTGATAGTGCGGCGTTTATTATTTATTGTCACTTGTGTTGTTGCAGGAAGTAATTGCGTCTAACAACTTTACACTTTAGACTTTGTACCTGAATTCACATATTTTGATCTTCGTAAACGATAATATATTTCTTCGAGCGCTCTCGAGCAGTTTTTGTTATTTTTAAACAAAAAAAAGTTATGTTGGTATTCTGTAAGGTTCGCGGTCCCACTCATGTTTCGACACGATTTGTTGTTATTATAAATATGGCAAAAGTCCCCAAATTAACATTAAAATAAACAATAAATTTGGAAAATATATATAATTAATAAAAATATATTCTGCAAATTCCAAATTATCAAAATTAGATATTTGTTAGATGAGTAAAAAATAATTAAAATACCTCTGAAAACTAGAAATTAAAAATTTGTATAATTTAAACAGTATAAATCTATAATAATTAAATGTTATAATGAAATATATGAATATAAAATATTCAAAGTAATAAAAAAATTATAATATATAAATAAATATGAAATTAATAAACAAAGCAGATAGGCTAATAAGCTAATTTGCCGATGATGAAATCTCTACAGTCCTTCGCCATTGGATTTTTGTGGTTATAAATATTTTTAAGATAACAAAAACTGTTCGAAGCATGCATTCTATTTCGAAAATATTAACCAACAATAAATTCGATTAGCCATAATATTATTTATAAGCAGCATTCCTAGCGAGACTTCTGAACATTTTTAATCATACCAAACGATAAATAAATCAGCAGACACACACACATAAGTATGCATGCATACCTTAATGATCCTAACTCGTATTCACTTCAAAGGTAAATAATTATAGCCGCATATATGTATGTATGTACATACTTACGCGTATATACATATGTAAGTAAAATTCACATACACCAACCAACAACACTTACCGATACATGAACTTACCTAGAAAGTTGCTCATTCTTATAATCGCTTCATATATCTAAATGTTTTTTATTATGTTTGTTGTTATTGTTTTCTTCATTTTTGTTTTTGTGTCAGGCTTTTCCAGTTAAGAAATTTGGCGCCGGCATGGACGAGAAGCCGAGATATGCCGCAGATGACATTGAGGTTTTGCTTTCATTTGTTTGTGTGTTTTGTTGTACATAGTATTTCCTTTTTATTTTCAATATCCTTAACTGTTTAAATGTCTATATGTGACCTGGTCTACGGAAAGCCGTTAGGGGTCAAAAAATCAATTTTCACTTTTTAGTTTGATACGGATGGAAGATGAGATGCTTTTTCACGTGATAGAAAACTAGTTTTCGCACGTTAGCTCCCTTTTTGTAGACCAGGTCACATATATGTATGTACATATGGATAGATGTGTCTTTATTTTGATTTTTGGACGGAATTGGTATTTTGTTTTTACATAATTAAAAAAATTTTTTTTTTGTGTTTTTACGTTTTACGAAAATACCAAAATTCTAAAAAATGGAAAACAAAAAAATTTATTTTAATTTGTTGTATAATAAAACCTATCCTTTCAAGGAAACCTCGTGCACCACAGATGTACAAAAGTTGATATGTTATTGTTCGGGTTACAACAAACTTATGTTTATTCGAATTCGGATTACCTAGTGGTGGCAGTATGTAATCCTTGATTTGTTTAATATTATAATTTATTTTAAAATATAATATACAGCTGCGAGCAGTGAAATAGTAGAGGGTGTTAGAGCTTTACATACCTGTGAGTTATGCTAAATTCTAAACAATTTTAACATCAATTGAAATGGAAAAGTTTATCATATTTCCCTGGCTACATTTATTAATAAAAATATTTTAATTTGAGTGGGTGTAAGATATATTTATTCACAAAGTTGTGTTTATGTATGAAATTTGATGGGAGCAGTAAAATAGTAGTAAAGTAATAAATTTTTTTTTTTTTWAACTGAAGGATTTTTGGAAGTTCCGTCTATACGAGATATTAGTACTTGGTAGCATGGCCATGATTTTTAATAACAGCAATACAACGCCTCTTCATAGAAACTACGAGACTTTGGCATCTTTTTAGTGATATGTTCTGCCATGCTTGCTGCACTACGTTCCACAACTCATTGTTCTTTTTGGGTTTGTCATTGCATACGGCTTTCTTAACGTCTGCCCAAAGGTTTTCAATAGGATAGAGGCCAGGCGATTGAGCTGACCTATCCGTAATAGAAAGAAAAACACCCCAAACCATGAAATTCAAACCGCCAAGCTTCATAGTTTTTGTGCTGAATCTGGGGTCGTACTCTCTATTAGGGGAGCGTCTTAGATACTGACCGGACCCTTTACCGCCGCATAGAATAACTTTCGACACGTCTGTCTAAAAGATGTTGCGCCATTTCTCAATCGGCAAATTCTCAATCGGTCCTTTGGCAAATGTAAGACGACTTGCTATATGATTTTTTTTAATAATAAGATAACAAGAAACTTACTTTTTGATTGATGAAATTAAATGTTTTTTAGTAAAAATAATCGGTGTGCAATCAGCTCAGCGCTCACTACTATTTTAATGCTCGCTTATAAAGACAGATATCACAATATAATTAGCTGTAAAAAAGTAACGGTAAGTGTTTCGCACTTATTGTTGTGTATAACAGGACCGTTACACTACAGAGAATATAACTAGAATAATAATCAACTTCAATACCATAAAAGGAACAAAATTTAAAGCGAAACTATTTTTGTCAATAGCCAC